CATTTTACATCTAAAACTGCCGGCATGGAATGCTGGCGTTGATGTAGAAGATTGGAGGCAACAGTGCCAGCAGCATCGTCAACAACAACAACTGCACCAATAAAAACAGCAACACCACCTCCACCAAAAATCCAGCGGACACCACAGTACGTCTTCAGCACGGCGGCTGTGACGAGGTTCAGCTGGTATTTCCCGGGGGCCACATGGCCTGTCTCGAGCATGAAGCTACCTCGCACATTACGCACTTCATAATACTTACAGCTTACATTTAGCACTTTCCCAATCTCCTCCCAAATTTGGTCCTTCTTCTGCACATTTCGGTAGTCCTTCAGAGATAAGTCGTAGATACACCGATATTTTCGCACCTCCTCTATCAACACCTCGTTGAAGCTCATTGTTCGATATGAAGAAAACTTTGCTTCTTTTTAAATTAATTATATTATTAAAATTTAATAAATATTGCTTTTGTTTGTAAACAAGCAAATTGACATTAAATGGTCAGAAAAGCAACCCTGTGTCTTCGACCCGACGGGAAAAATAGAAATGAATCTAAATATTTTCCCGCCGTAAAAAAACCAACGGCAAGAAATCCGTCCCCGCCGCAATTCTGTGCCACTTCATGCCATTTAATACGTTCTAATTTTGACAGCGGGTACCCGTCAACCCGCTATCCGGTGCAATTCTGTTTAGGGCATATGGGTGAAACACGCGTGTGGTCAGAGAGCGCTCAGTAAGCTATGCCATGTCGATCACTGCGCTATGTAGCAAGGATGAAAAAGTAGGTACAATTGTACCTTTTTCCGACGTTTGATGACTTAAAGGTACATTAGGTACAGTCACTAGATTTTAGGTACAATCATCTTTTGATCAGATGCATTTTTAGTTTTTTTTTTCCTTTACCGTGCTAATATATTTACTTATAGGCACGGGAAAAGCTTCGCTTTCATTTTGAAGAATAAACAATTATAAAGAAAAGTGGTCAATAGGAAGAAATTAAAAAAGTTATATTATGTATTATCTTAAACATTTTACATTGCATTTAGAGCAGCTACTACGAAAAATTAGCTTTTCTCAAATTCGTAGTTTTTTCCTATTAATTCAATGGCATTTGCGGTCAAATGAGCGAAAACATATTGTCAATGGGTCTAAAAATAGTCTTTTGATTGATTTAGATCAGAATAGGCTTTCAGGCGTGTACATGCGCTGCTAAAACGGCTATTTGTAAGTTTTTGGCCCATAATATCATCGATAAAGGTAGTTATAAGGGAAAGAAAGTTGTGTCAAAATATGTCGACAAATTTTGTTGTCAAAATATGACATAATGAAAACCAGCCTTTATTCGCCCATACAGTCCAGTGCCTAGGATGTCTTCAAATTTCATATTTTCTTTAGATGAGAACTATAGCTATTTGACCCATATTCGCTTTTTGATTTATGAAAATACATACATACATATATTTAAAATGCTTTCGAAGTTACTTACGGCAATTTGATTATTTTCTCTAGACTTGCTGCACCTATTAAAAGGAATCGGATAAGTGTGTTTTTTGTTTTTTTTCGCTAATATTATCAGTAGTCAAAATTAGACAAAAACAACGCTTCTACGATTCCCATTAGACTATAGTCTATAGCAGGGGTTCTTAAACTTTTAAGATGATGGAACCCTTACAAATCACCTTTCATTTTATGGAACCCCATATGAAATTACTAAAAATCGAAGGCAGTGCAATTTAAATATGAATAAAAACTTTTACTAGAAATAGTATACATACTTTAAATTTTAATGTGAAGAATGAAATTGTTTCACTCTTATTAACTATTGTATAAAATAGTAGTTCGATATAATGTCTGAAAGCTGTATGCGCATTTCTAGGGTAGCATTCAATTTCGACTTGAATTACGTTGTGACAGAAGCAAGCAAAGTTAAGATGGCCTGTTTAGCGACTTAATGATATTTACTCTTAACACTTACCCAAAACTCTTTCAGAGACACAGATTCAAATGTGTGGATTTTTTACCAAACCAATATTACTACTCCCATCCGAAAAATAATCTGAAAAATATTTCAGGTGATTTACCAAGTGCCCAGTAATGATATTTCACATTTCATTTGGCAATTCATCGCGTTCCTTGTAGATCTGCAAAATTATCGATGGTTGGACCATTCGATATTTTCGATAGTTTTGGGCATCACCAGTCGATAGTATCGATACTATCGGTAAGAGAAAAAATATGGGCACTACTTATATTGAATATAGTAATATTAGTAGAAAAAACAGAAATGTTAGTTTTAAACACCATTTCGGCGTGGTTTATTAAAAATAATAAATAAGTTATTTTAAGTAACAAAAACAACACGTTGCAAGTCTAAATTTTAAACAATTTACAAAAACGAGGAAAATTCGAGTTTTTCGAGTAATAAAAATTTCGAGCTTTTTAATTCGGTTTCTTAGAAAATGTTTGAGTATGTACTTTTGTAGTTTGAAGTAGCTAGGTCTCACTGTTGATTCTTGGCAATTATTTGTATTTGAAGGTTTCTGCGATAGTGGCTACCATTCATCGATAGTGGTGTCAAATTGAAACTATCGATACTATCGATAGTGTCATCGATAGTTTTGCAGCTCTAGTTCCTTGTAGAAAGTTTTATATAACTCTTTGGCTACAGCGGCCAACAACACAAACCGGTTAGAAAAAAACAAGGTAGCAACCGCAAGCTCAACGCTCTTATGTAGGCATGGCACTCTGTACGGCAATTATACCAACTACAAGTACATATGTATGTATACTTGAAAATAGATAATTGCATCTCGGTCAAGCTGTTTATAGAACTTTTCTTTCTGTTTGCAACTCAAACCGACCGCCGTGCTTATTCATACCAAAATAGATCTCGCGAAATCCCGGTGACTTTTCTCCAGAACCCTTGGGTTCCGCGGAACACACTTTAAGAAGCTCTGGCCTAGATATAGGCCCAGTTAAAAAAAAACCTAATCATGTTTAAAGTAAATTCATCTTTTGTTTTTATGTTTTAAATAAAATTTATAAAAAAAAACTACAAATAAATTATATAACTTTTTTTAGGTACAATCTGTCTCATTTAGGTACATTTATTTTATGATATTAGGTACAATCTGAAATTTCCACTTTTCATCCCTGCTATGTAGAGAAAGAAAAGTGTGTGCTATGAAATGCCCAGGCTTATTTGTCTCAGTTTCAGTTTTGCCATCGCCGCGAGTTGTTTCGGTGTGCGCATAGTTAGGCTGACTTCCAAAACGTCAATTGCTTTGCATACGTACAAAGTATAAGGTTCCATAACGCCGAACTACAAAATATTGACAATGTATACTGTTCCAAAACGCAGCCGAAAAGTTATCGAAACGCATCGCTCGAGCAATCAGCGCATCAGAAACAAAGTTGATGCTTCGTTTGTTATCGGTTAGCATTGGTGTTTTAGAAATGGAAAATTCAGAAAAATTGTTCATTGCTATATTGAATATTTAAAATATGCAATGTATATGGTTGCAATGTGTCGCAACTCTGCATATACAAACAGTTTGAATACCGCAGTATAACAGTGTCCAAACATTGTATTGATACGTTTTGGAAGTCAGCCTTATTTAAAAATATAAAGTTTGATGCCAACCGGGGTTTTTCAGTGGATATATAATTCATGTGAATTATAATTTGAAAGTATCTATTTAGCCAAGGAAAAAGCAAAGCAGTATACTTAAACCAGCACTTCCAGCAGATATTGACCTTGGTTTTCGCACGACTATTCCTGTTTCATCGTTTCTTTTTAGGAAATTCTTACCACCATATACATATGTATTATTTACACTAGTAACTATTTATGTAAATATGTATGTATTTTTTATGCTTAATATATGCAAATAAAAGAAGAAATTAACACAAAAACCATCGATTAAATTTTTATTTGTGTCAAACTGAAACTTTTTTTCCAATAATAAACGGTTAGCTGATTCAAGTCTACAGCAGGTTCACAAAATTAATTGAAAACTTGTATCAACCAAATCATTGTTTATATTTGCTCAACAATGATTTTATTCAACTAACAATATTGTCCACTCAAGGTAGTCGTTTTGTAATTATTAACAAATATACATTTGTCCCAACTAGAAGTCTCAAGCAAATTGCAGACTTTCGTGAACTAGATATTTATTTCGTCATATCCAACTATGCCACTTGGTCACTATAACCAAATCTTGGTAATTATAACTAAACCTTTTTCTGAGTGTATGCGAGGTGAGCGTGTGTATTGCCCAATTTCAAAGTTTTTCAACCAATGTCTTAGCTGACACAAGCAAGCTACTAAGATACAGTATTTCATCATCAGTGGGCGGGGTCACGCCCCATTTCCAAAATTTTCATAATATTATTTTGTACCAAAATTTTACTTTACATACTAATTTTCAGCAATTTGGATCCAACATTTACTGAAATATCGTAGTTTTTGCATTTTTCGAAAATAGCTTTATATGAGAAGTGGGCGTGGTTACAGGCCGATTTTGGCCATTTTCAATAGCAACCTACCTTGGATAAAGGGAAACCTACATACCAAATTTCATTGAGATATCTCAATTGTTGCTCCAGCTGCTGGCTTAATCGACATTTATTTTTAGTCAGATGATTTATGTATACATTTGTCTATATCTGTCTCGATTCCTTTTGGCTGTTACAAACAACCATTATGCGAACAAAATTATAATATTCTTGTGCACAAGTGCGGTCGGGTATAAAAATCTCAAATAAAAGCTTGATTGTTCGGGCTTAAACTTGTAAAAGCAGTGCCTATTGAATTTATAAATAGGAACAGGTCATAAAAGCAAAGCAATTTGAGTTTTGATTAAAAAAAATAGTTGAAATTAATATTATTGACTCGTGTTGTAAATATGAGTACTGCCATCGAATCCTTTTTATATAAGTACTAGCATCGATACTTTTCTCATAAGGTCTCTCACTATATATTCCCTTGTTTTTTATAGGGTGTCGCATAGTGCCAAAGTGAATATCTACGGGCTTCCATTTATTCGAGAAATGCCGAAAATAACTGGTATATCGGGCTCCGACTTAGTTGTGAAATGTCCAGTTGCTGGCTACCCCATCGATAAAATTCACTGGGAGCGAGGTAAGTATTACATATATGTAAAGATTAACGGTAACCGAGATCTTTAGTATCTAAGTTTTCATCGCAGTACTCTCTTCCTATCTACAACCTGCTTCACTTTAATATTATAAATACAAGAGACTGTTGCTTTGTAGTAAGGAATCAGTAGTGCATTTACGAACAAGAGTTTCATTATCTATAATTGAAAGGAAAACTTTAACGCTACATTCTGTGGTTGATTTCGTTACGATATATACCCAAAAGTTGGGGTCCAACTCGAATACCCTTACTCATGAAAATTGATGTGTAAACATATGCGTACGGCTCGGCGAATCATAAAAATACGTTTACATATAAATACTATAATCGCAACCAAAGTTCGATTGTTAATCACCCCGTTTTCACAGGCAAATCTCAGATTACTAGCCGTAAAATTTCTTGTACTTCTCACAACTTACGGAAAAAAAAGTTAAGTTTCTTCTCTGTGCCACCGCAATCACTTTTTTCTGCTATATTAAGCAATTTAAATATATATTAACTTAATATTTTACTAAAAATACCTTTAAAAACCAAGGAGAAGACGTACATAGCGTACATTTTTGTTTACTTTTACATTTGACATTTCTCCTCTTCCTCGCAAATATAATCGATATAACTAAAAGTTGTCGGCTTAACCTGAGATTATTTTATAATTATTTTGTATGGCTCAAGGCTTTTTCTAATTACAAATTAGGGAGTTGAGCTCGAAACTGCGGATAATTTACTTACATGTATTACATATGTATATACACTAGGGTGGCCCTTAAAAATGAAATTTTAAGTCTCACCCCCTCAGTCGCTAATACAATGGTCAAAGATAACACATATAAATTTTAGTCCCGATTGGAGACAGTTAAGGCGTGTCGCACAGGGGTCAAAGTTCAGATTCCTCTATGGAGACTCAGAAAATTGAAATAAATTTTTTTTCATCTAATACCCAAAATCGATACTACTGTAGGCGCAGATATCACGTATAAATTTTGGTCTCGATTGGAGTCTGTTAAGGCGTGTTGCACAGGGGTCAAAGTTCAGATTCCCCTATGGCCCAAAACGCGGACTGTTACATTACATTTTGGCTCACACTGATTTTTAAATACCGCTGAAACTCGCGAGAATACAATTTTCGGATAATTTTTCTTTTTGCATCGGAAAGCATAAGTATGTGGCATTATTTAATACATACAAACATATATTGTAACTCCTGTTGTTTAGGAGTTATGGATGTTTCAACAGTGGACTGTTTCATTACAATTTTTGGAAGTACTTTTTAAAGTTGCTTTATATTATTGAAAAAGTCTGCTCTCCTAATATAATGTTGTCAAAAGTTGGTACACAGTTTCCTAGCTTCAGGATGGAATTCAAGAACTACGTATTAATTGAACTTATAAAATTAATTTTGAGGTCAATATTTGTAAAAAATAGTCGGACTGGTACGTTACAGAAAAAGACTGTTACGTTACCTGTGCGATATACGTGTAGCGATAGGATTATAATTAGGTATTTAAATCGTTTTTAGTGTGTTTTATGCAATAAGTAGCATCATGATACAAAAAGAAGGTAGTTTCATTTCAAAATTTTTGACAAAAAATAAGTTTTTGAAGTTTCATAAATTGTACAAAATTATGAGCTACCTTGCCACATTGATATCAATGAAACAATACATCAGAGGGTTTAATGTTGTGCGTTGGAAATGTTCGGTTATTTGTAAAATGATTTTTTGGTGGGGAGCGGAAACGGAAGGTGCGTGTCACCAAAAACTTACTAGAAAGAGAACAGTATAAACTTTAAGATAATTCACCCTTCGCCTCCCTGCCCCTTCTACAGACACTCGGGGCCCATTTCAAAATGGGGTAAAATTAGCATTTTCGCAAAGAAAAATTAAACTCGTGTTAGGCCATCAGCAGTGGGTACTCTTTTCCATTTTGGTAGCCTTCGGCCGCGCTAGTGAAAATAACCTCATCAGTCCAACTCTGGTTACGCCATCCACAGTACAAATTTACAAAAAAAGTGCATATTTTAAACCGAAACCTTTGTTTTAACTTAAAGCTTAGTCCTTTGGCTAGACGTATATGTTAAAATTTTTTGATTCGGGTCACGGGTTTGAACACGATAACCCAAAATCATTGTACAAATTAGTGATGTTGCGAATGTGGAATTTTAGACATCCGCGGATGCGAATGCGTATGCGAATATCTAAAAGCTAACAACCGCGAATGCGGATGTCAAGTATTTTTAATAAACAATTAGAATCTAGCATAATGGCGAGATCGTTGTTTAAAAAGCGCTTACAAGGCAAACCAGATGTGTCAGGTTTTTCTAAAGCTTTTTAAAAATAGTTCTCCATTGTCATTCCTTTGGCTGTTTCAGAATTTGGGGAATCTGTAACTTCATCAGCGTTTTTCGATTTTAGTTTTTGTAGTTCATTTTGAATACTTTCTTCTGGGACTGGTTTGAACAATCCGTGCCTATAGCGAGCTAAATAGGTGGATATGGAAAATAAATTATTGTTTCCCTGAAATGAAAATTTGAACAAAATTCTGTTTTCAAAGTCGTGGCTGTCAGCGGAATCGGATAAGAACACTGTTATTTTTTAAAAAAGCACCCCGTTTTTTAAAAACATTTGAATCTCAGATACTTACGTAATTCTTATCTTATTAAAGGTCAGACCTATAAGTCTTTTAATTATTTGAGCATCGCTCCTCTTTATAGCCAGACGTTGATCATTTCAGCTGGAAATCCCTATTGAAGGAGCTTACTCTTTGACTTTAAATAGCAAAGAAGGGACAGTATATATCCATCCGAAAAAATATTGCCCGACAAGTAAACAAAATTACTGTTCTTTAATTTTTTGCTAAAAATAAATTCCCCAAAGAGCCCCATTTGAAATTATTGAAACGAATATATGTAACATCAAAGGCAAATCACGAAAATTTGGTTAAGATCTACAGTGCACAGCTTCTTTTTTTGTGTCTAGTAGTTTTTTTTAAATTGGTCCAAAAAAATAATATTAAAGAAAGAAACCAATGCAGGTATTGAAAGAAGAGAAAACAAAAAATATTGTTAAAAAGGCTAGGTTCCCTTTTACGTACGTCAAAGGTCAAGTAGAAGTTGGAACTTGCATGACTGCCCATTGATTGCTCAGTTATATAGCCGAAGAAATAATAAGTTTAAATACATTTTTGCTTAAGTTGATAAATATGAACAGTTTTGTTACAGAAATACTCCCACGACCACAGGCAAAAATATTGGCTACAATTTGTCATTTTGTTTGCCATATATACGTTTTATCGGTGCACTTGCACAACATTCGTATTCGCAAAAGCTCCGCATTGATTATTGCGAATGCGAAAGCGAATGCGAATGTTAAAATTAATGCGGAAGCTCCGCAGTTGCGAATGCGAATGCGAATATTCGCAACAACCCTGGTACAAATATCCGAACCGTAACCAAACTGTCTTACTTATGCCATTTTCTAGAAACAAAAACTTTCTAAAATGAAACTGCAGTAGTTTTCATCTTATGTGGATAATTCTTGTCACAAATACCTGGTTTCTTGCTTATATTTATGCATATATATTTTTGAGCAGCGCCACACCTTAACAAAAAATTCCGAGAATCCAAAATTGGTACTGTTCAAGTTGCATGGCATCATTTTAACTCCATCTCCACCCTCTTCCACGGATAACGGTACATCGGTTAGAGGTTTAAAAATATTTTGTGTCAGCAATTTGTCATCAAACTGCATTAAATCGTATTACGTACTCTATCCTCTATCCAAAAAACTTCATTTTCGAACGTTTGCACAGGTGTATCCAATTCCTTCAGTTTGAAAACGCGCAAGACTTTTTAATGTTTTCATCCAACTTCACTAACTTAAATTTTTTTTTTACTTTTTCAAGAAACAAAAATTTTTCTGCTAGTCAATCTGGTAGCATGGTTTTAATGAAATGTCATAAACTTATTAAAAGTCAAGTGGTCGGCAACAACAACGAATGTCAATAAATGAAACTACCTTCTATTTTTGTATCATGAGTAGCATGAATTCAGTAGTCTTGCGATGTGACAAGTAATTCAAAGAAATTAAGAACATGATAATTATGAATACAGATTGCAAAGTTTCTGATGCTGTGCAGCCGTAGGTCGTTTCCGAAGTAATTTTCTGCGTAGAACTCGAACTCGATCTTAGAATTGTATTTCACGAAAAACGGCTTTAATGGCTTATTTTGTTTGCTCTATGCTATTTAGTACTATTCTTACCCTTCAAATGTTAGATTCGAGGAGTCGGCATTTTGTAGAATAATAGTAGTACTAGGAAAATAGCCGAAATAATTCCAATAGATTTTTATTATTTAATCGGAAAACCTTCTTCTTTCCGCTTCTTATTTCGCTTCTCTTGACTTCGTTCCTTTTTGAAATAATATAATTCTCGCGTATTCTATTTTTCTACGTAATTCTTATCTTATCAGTTTATATAAGTTAGAAAAAATAACAGTTTTAACTATGGGACAATAATACGTTGAATAGCTTCCAATGTTGCTTGTAAAATGAACCCTATCTTTAACTAAATAGGAAAAAAGGTTACCTAAGAATTAAATTAGTTCAAAAGACTGTTACTTTACAAAAAGCTTTCCACCGAAAACATATGGGTAATGAAGAGTATGTGGAACTACTTTATTTTACTGTGAAATAAGGCCGAAATGCTCGAAGAAAACTATATTTTTCCTTTTTTTAGTTTGGTGGATTCCGCGCCACAAAACTTTTTAATATTTTGGACTGTTACATTACATTAAAAAATAGTGCCGACTTGATTTTCATATAGAAAACTATTCGCTAATTTTTTTGTCGAATACTTTTTTTTATTAACTTCAAAATAATACAAGGCAAGCGAAGAGAGGCAAGTATAATGCAAAAAAGTGGTGGACCTTAAATATAAACTACCCTTTAGTTTCATGTTGTGCTTGTTTAATATTCGTTTATTTAAA